TACTAGATGGGGATTTGTATGCAAAATGTCACTAAAAGCGCCATTTCGTTCTTATAAAAGCACGGATGACCGCGATTGGCCCATATGTTGTAGTCTTTTGGATGCTGAGTCGATTGGTTTTGGTCCGAAAAGGCTGCGATGCAGCGTTCCTCCTTTATTCCCAATCGAACATGGTTGAACAAGCGGTCACGTGCTCCTGCGTACGCCAGTCACCTGGTCACCGTGCCTGCTGGGTACAACTTACTAGCCTGTTTGACCTTTTTTGGGTGCAGTCCTGTCACTCGAGTTGAACTCGAGTAACCTTGGTGTGAAAGTTGTCGCCTGCTGGCGTGGTGACCAGGTGATTTGGGCACCCAGGAGCACGTGACCGCTTGTTCAACCATGTTCGATTGGGAATAAAGGAGGAACGCTGCATCGCAGCCTTTTCGGACCAAAACCAGTCGACTCAGCGTCCAAAAGACTACAACATATGGGCCAATCGCGGTCATCCGTGCTTTTATAAGAACGAAATGGCGCTTTTAGTGACATTTTGCATACAAATCCCCATCTAGTAGGGCGCAGTCACCCAGTTTCGGTGGAAGTGCGCGAGTTCGATTGGGATTCAAGTAGGAAGGGAGCGTCTCAGCTTTCTCGGACCAAGACCATTCGACTCAGCACCCCGAAGACTACAACTGGTGAAATTTTAATTTTTGCCTTAACTTCCCCTTTAACAACTCCGTCTTCAGCTCACACGGTGTGGCAAGTGAACTCCGGCCTCACCGGCAGTATGCACCATGTTCACTGCACGCTGTAGTCTGCAGTCCATCCATTGGAAACTGGCACCCCAATGTTTTGGTGTCTCCCACGTATGGTCCTGAACTGTTGTAGATGTCGTGAAACAACAATACATCCTACATTGTGTGACCCGCGTAATTATTCCTTGCCACATTAGACTTTAGAGGCCAGAAGAATCCAAGGAAAGGGAATTTGAATTTCATCCAGGTTTTATAAAATTAGGACAGGTATGCCATGGCAAAACATGTGGAGAAGAAGACTTTTTCAAGTTAAAAAAAGGTCTTTCTTAGCCTCGATTCGGCCAAAATCGGGCTTTCAAAATCCAGCGGGACTATTTTTGATAGGACTGTAGCAGGGAGTCGTATATACACGACTCCCTGGACTGTAGTGTTTCTGTGAGCAGATGCAGCAGAATGTGTGGCTCGGGAGGTCGGATTCAGTTCCCTTGCCACCCACAAGTTGATTATAGATCAACGTCACAATGCCTTCAACACTGGAGAGGCTGCCTTGCTGAAGGGTCTGCTGCAGTACATCTGTGTACGACACACAATCAACTCGGACAGGCCGACAAAGGCATAGAGAAATTTAGAAAGGATTGCATCTGGTTTGCTGCGCCGTTGGTATTCATCTCCCTGTCCGTTGTCTGTAGTTTTCTGCCGTGCACTGTTTCCCACAACTGAGCTAACTTAGATTAGACGGTTGTAGTTTGCTGCAAGTAATACCGTGTACCAAAGTAATGACTTGTTTGCTAAACTACTGACGGAAACAACCTCGCCTTGGGTAAGAGAAGCGCTAGCATTAAACCATTGTTCATGACCTCCGAGAAAAAGGATATTAGCGACTGGTACAGCCTGATGCAGTACTGCTGTGAGTGCAGGCGGCTGGCCCATAAGTCATAAGTCCGGCTCAGAGCCACTGGCTCCTGAGGGGGTAGTATGGCCCCAGGTTGGCTACATGCATGCGGCCTGTGCACATTGTTTCCCCCTGTCCACTGATTTCAGTGTCGCGAGAGGACACGCCTCTAGCTGCCCTATACATCAGACATGTATCTGGTTGTTTCAGATACACAATCCCTTTACTTTAGTACATTAGATGTGTAGCTAGCCCAGCAGCTGCATACCGCACTGCACAAGAGAAACAGTTTTAACTGTTTCTTCAAATAAGGGAGAGACTCTTGGCAGAAGCGTACGAGGAAAATCTATTAATACGTCCACCACGATGATAAAATACACAAAAGACATTTCAAAGAAGCGATTGGAATTAGCAAACACTGGTACGGCCATGGCCGTACTTGTCATACCAGTGACACCGGCCCTGTGAATCATAGAATTATAATAATTGCTGATGACCATGATCTTTCTGGACTAGGTCATGTCGCCAGTATGGACATTGACCTCCCAAAAATACGTCCTCTTTGGAGAGCTGCTGTTCGGGCATCTTGGTGATGGCCCCAAAAGGTGCAGCAAGATGTCGCTACAAACAGCTGATCTGACAGAGACCGAGATCCTGGAGGAAATATGGTAAAATGCTATGCCGAACAGGCTGAACTCTTTGCATCATTACCCTCCTTCTGACACAGCGAAGACTTTCCAGTGTAAATGTGGGCAGACTTTCGTTGGTGACATCAAGCATCACACACCCAATTGCTACGCTTGCCCCATGCTATTACCACACTAGACATGAGTGTCCAAGGTAATTTATGTGTGTGTGCGTGTGTGTGTGTGTGTGTGTGTGTGTGTGTGTGTGTGTGTGTGTGTGTGTGTGTGCATGCTTGTGTGTCTCTGTGTGTATGTATTGGTGTCTGTTTCTTTGTTCAATGTGTTTGCCTTACACAGGACCTAACTTGCCATTTGAAGTGTTGTTCTCCATGACTGGAATGCTGCTGATCCTTTTCAGGATCTGCCCTCTACACCGCGGATGAGTAATGTGTGTGCGCGCGCACATGTGCGTGTGTACATGTGCGTGTGTACATACGTGTGTGCATGTAGGGAATCCATCTATCTATCTGACAATCTCTCTCTCTCTCTCTCTTTATCTCTCTCTCTCTCCCTCTCTCTCTTTCTCTCTCTCTCCCTCTCTCTCTCTCTCTCTCTCTCTCTCTCTCTCTCTCTCTCTCTCTCTCTCTCTCTCTCTCTCTCTCTCTCTCTCTCTCTCTCTCTCTCTCTCTCTCTCTCTCTCTCTCTCTCTCTCTCTCTCTCTCTCTCTCTCTCTCTCTCTCTCTGTCTCTCTCTCTCTCTCTCTCTCAGTGAAATTCCACCCCATGCACGAATAAGTTAGCACACAGGGTGTTGTAGCACACAGGGAGTCGCAGCACACAGGGTGTTGTAGCACACAGAGAGACAATACGAGATCATAGCGCCCGAAACGATGTGCCTTCTAACCCTGATTTGAAAGTTCTATGTGATCTGCGGCCTTTGCGTGCTCCCGATAGCAGTCTTCACTTGCTGACCCCAGCATGGCGGCACAGACAAGCGATGCCATAATACCAGTGGGCTATACCATTAGTATAAATCAGCCCTGGCCAGGGCCAAGGGCAAGTGTGCAAGCATATAGGCAGCCCGGGGGTCGAAACACTCGAAACACACATGACTTAGTATTACGCGAGTATAGTCATCCAGTTGTTTGTGCCCTTGACACTTAACTACAGTACATGGTTGGCACTCTGCATCAGTGAACAGCCGCCGCGCCATGCAGTGCTCCAGTCCTTGTTCACCTTTGCACAACGGTAACTGCACTGCTGCTCAATGAAATCCAGTCGCGTCACTCAAGTCTGCGCCGGGCGTTGCCGCACAGTCCTAGACCTGCCAACACTGGGCTGCGGAATGATGCAAGGTGCAAACTTGAGTGACACGACTGGATTTCATTGAGCAGCACTGTGCTTTCACGGAGTTTACCTGTTGAGAGATTAATGAATAGCTCGTTTTGTCTTGATGCCCCCCCCCACGTCCCCCACCTCCACCCCGCCTCGAACCTTACACGTTGGAAGACATTTTGCGAGGGCATTCAAGATGTGATTGAGGTATTGGAGAATCCTTCAAATTTATAACGTCTGAATGAGTGAATGGCTGAGGTGAATGTAAGATCATTGAATATCCATACCAAATGCCAGTGTGGTAGTGTCCCATGTTTCGACTCCTCGTGATGCAGTGGGGATCTTTTTAAAAAGGTTTCACGCCATGAACTACGTCTACGCACCCAGGGGACGTCCATTTCGGAGCAGTGCGCTTGCGGAGGCTGTGTAGTGGGAATACGCAGCATCATGTTTCCATTTCAATTGCTACATGTAGGTGCTGTGTTCAGCTCACGGGTCGGGTCTCTGTCCACAAATGTAGATTGCAAGAAATTTAGATTTTCTTCTCCTGTCGAATTTTCCGTCTCGTGTTTTCTTCTTGGCTTACTGATGGCTGAACTCTTGTTGTTTCTGCAGGAGGACGCCTCCTGATCACTTTTATAGCCTATCCTGGCTCTGAACTTCACACCTGAAATGATTAGTCAACCCCTCTCAGCCAATCAGAGTTCAGCGAGGGTTTTCTTCTTCACTTGCTGATGGCTGAACTCTTGTTGTTTCTGCATGGGGAAGGAGAAGTAAGCTGGAAAATTCTACTGGAGAAGAAAATCTAAAATTCTGGCCATCCCAAACTTCTCCCTCTCAGCCAATCAGAGTTCAGCGAGGGTTTTCTTCTTCACTTGCTGATGGCTGAACTCTTGTTGTTTCTGCATGGGGAAGGAGAAGTAAGCTGGAAAATTCTACTGGAGAAGAAAATCTAAAATTCTGGCCATCCCAAACTTCTCCTTCCCCATGCAGAAACAACGAGGATTCAGCCATCAGCAAGCCAAGAAGAAAACCCTCGCTGAACTCTGATTGGCTGAGAGCGGTTGACTAATCATTTCAGGTGTGAAGTTCAGAGCCAGGATAGGCTATAAAAGTATTAATTCCAGGAGGGGGATGGTGGTCGGGGTTCGGGATGGCCAGAATTTTAGATTTTCTTCTCCTGTAGAATTTTCCGGCTCGTTTCTCCTTCCTCATGCAGAAACACAACAACAAGAAGTGAAGATGGTGGTCGGGGTTTGGGATGGCCATAATTTTAGATTTTCTTCTCCGGTAGAATTTTCCGGCTCGTTTCTCTTTCCTCATGAGTGGTCAGGGTTCGGGATGGCCATAATTTTACATTTTCCAGATCCAAACCCAACACACAGACAAAGCCGGCAATGCCCCCAATGCAACGTTGTATATTTTAAAAGTATTGTTTTCGGTTTGGCCAAGAAATGAGACGGGAGACAAGCATGTGTAATGGTGGTCATGGCCTGCTCGCACTAGAGCCAGAACAACGCTCTTGAACGGACCAAAAACAGACTAAATCCACGCGATAAAAACACATAAACATGTCGACACGAGCAGACAGCGTGCTTCAACAGCTAAATAGAACTACTAGATTTAAGATGACGGAACAACGCCAACACCGATGGCAAGAAAACAAGTCCACGGGGAAATATATGACAAGAAGAAGAAGATAAGGGAAGCAAGGAAACCTGCACCTGGCAGCAGGCGTCAGTGACGACAGATCTAGAGCAACATAAGAGCTAGAGAATGCTTGGTTATAACAGGGTAGTAGTGGTAGGAAGTAAAACTGCAGTCGCCCTGCTGCATGCATGGGACCGCCAACAAGAGACTCGCATCAGTATGATTTTGTACAAGCAGTTGGGTTAAAAAAAAGTAACCGAAAAATGGCACAAGGGGAGTCATGGGTTATAATAAAATACACATAGTAGGTGCTGCAAGCAAGCGAAGCAACGAATAACAGGACGAGCAACAGTTCCACAGAAATGGCATAAGATAGTGGATGATAAAATGTACATATGAGCTAGGGAAGAAGGGGGGGGGGGGGGGCTGATGTGGGACGACAAGTAAGAAGTCATGGCAGCATGACCCAGAGCCCCGGCTGAACAAACAACAACAACTGATCAGATATGACGACCAGAGCGATGCACAGCATGCACAATGCCTGCACCCACTAATGGCTGGCATTGTTACTGTACGCGCGCGCGCATGGAGCAGCAAACAACATCTCACCCTAGAATAAAACGAACAAGAAAATGGTAAGAACACATGCGAAGGAAACGTACAAGGACTAGGGGAGAAGCGTTGTGCGCCGCCACTGCCGGCACTGCAGCTCCGTTGCATAGACACACGGCGGGCAGCTGAGAAAGTATACGTATGAGTGTGCGTGTGTGTATGTGTGTGCACAACTACTTGTAGGTAGGGGAAAGGGGCAATATGCAGCAGCGTTTGTCATGTAAGCAACTTCAAAAAATGACAAAACTAAAACAATGTCCACCGATGACTCACCGGAGAACAAAATAGACCAAAGTTGCGGTGACGGCGGCAAGCAAGCTGCAGTGACAGCTGCTAAAGGGACGCCTGTGCACGCCTGTGTGTGCCCACTGTGCGGCTGTGTAACTAGGGTGGACATGGCGCAAGGCAAGCAGACACAGCATGGGGGGGGGGGGGCAGAACCGGTACAAAGCCAGTGAGCGTCGGGCGGCAGTATTAGCGGCCAGGCTTACCTGACACACCATTTCACACCCATCTCTGACCAGCAGCAGCAGCAGTCACACTAAGCCGCCACGGCACACAACACATAAAATCCAGGGCACCGCACGAAGAAATATGGGCCTGAGAGAGAGAGAGAGAGAGAGAGAGAGAGAGAGAGAGAGAGAGAGAGAGAGAGAGAGAGAGAGAGAGAGAGAGAGAGAGAGAGAAGGGAGAGAGAGAGAGGGAGAGGGAGAGAGAGAGAGAGAGAGAGAGAGAGAGAGAGAGAGAGAGAGAGAGAGAGAGAGCACAGGATAAAGCGGTGCCGGTGGCTAGCGTACATTTCTTCCATTCTCCTCCGATTCCTTGCTATCGACGAACGACTGTGGAGTAGTGTCAATTGGAGACTGCAGTGGGAATAGAAAAAGACAGACAGGCACACAAAAATATTAAATCAGCACACGCCCCAGTGGAAAGGGGAGCATGTTGATGTGCATGTACGAGAAGGTGCAGCAACCTCATACAATCCATGTGGTGGCTTGAAGCAGGAAGACAGAGAAAAGAAGAACCCAACACAATACGCGGCGCAGGCATAGAGATGTGAAGACTACGGTGGTATACGCCAACAGCCAGCGGATGATAGGCTAGATTTAGTCGATTAGTGATGTTCTGCAACGAAGCCGTGATGCTACCCCCTTTGTTCCCCTCCTCACAAGGGCAGCTGTATGCCAAGGTCAAGGTGTGTGTGTGTGTGTGTGTGCGCGCGCGCGCGCGCGCGCGCGTGTGGTGTGTGTGTGTGTGGGGGGGGGGGGGGTCAAGTGCATGTGAAGTTGTACTGTTGACCATGTACTCCATTCGGTAAAATGACGCATGCTACTCATGCGGTTCTCCGAGAGGAGGCTAGCTGGCGAAGAGGAGTAGTAAAGAACACAACGCCAAGCCAGCAGGGATGCTGCAGAACTCAACACTTGACAGCACAGCCCTACCAGCAGTGGCACAACACAGTCACTCAGAGTCATTGCTGGACACCAGTTCAGGCGGCGATGCATCGTGGTGGCGATGGCAGCCGTTAGTCTCCTCAATCACCGCGCAGCTCGGTGATACTGTCGCCTGCCTGGGGCTCTCGTCATACGAGCGATGCACGGCGGGAATTCGACTATGGGCATTAATTACTGGCAGTGGCGTCGAATAGTCACCCTGGTCTGCCATCCTGGCATGCCTGTAAGCCCGAAGAGTGGGGAATGCAGGTATTCCTTCTGGTTGTCTAGGTTCTCTAATGATGAACGCCGGGCGTTCGGGTGCATGTTCGCGCCGCGTGCTATCTTTATCAGATTCTGGACTCTTCCCACGGCCTTTCAAAACGGAGAGTTCTCGTGCCTCCGCAACTCTCCACCTTCTGGACGCAGGGCTGGAGGGCTTTGGCTTGCAAGAAGAAGCCACGCTTCCACTACTAGTACTGTTGACGCTCCCGTGCCAGGCGTTGAGTTTTGCTGTTACTGTCGGTCTTATCTTATTCATAGCATCAATGAAGTCGTCTAGGCCGTTTGAGTCATCGCCGTTTGCGTCAATGCCGTTTGAGTCAATGCCAGTGCCAACTTGATTATCGCCATCGTCAGTGCCTTCCTCTTCCTCGCCATTGCCAGTGTCCTCTTCCTCGTCGTCAGTGCCTGTGACTTCCTCCTCCTCCTCCTCGTAGTAATCGTACAGATCTTCAGTCTCGCCATCTCCTCCTCTACTGCTCTTGACAGAAGTAAAGTTTCTTACAGACAACGCCGTGTATCTGCGCAGGAGGTCTTCGATAGTACCTCCGTCTTTAAGGGCCTGTGACACGTACGTCAGAAACAATAATGCTTAATTGCTTAGTGTCGGTTACCAATACATTACTGAAGAAGCATTTCTGAACTCGGATGGTGAGCCCACGTAATCATGGATAATCATGGATAATAAAAAAAGGAGAAGGACAACCTGAGCCTTCCAAGTTGGAAGGTTGTCAGTTTACACCTCTTAGAAGTGTTAGGTGTCAGGTCGTTGAATGTCTCAGTACTCCCTGTCAGTTTCGTGCCTTTTCGTTGCACTTGCTGACTGTATATGATCTGGTTACATTGGTGGACAGTTAGTCATAACCAGTACCATTTTTGTCCTTCTCCTTCTTTTTTAAAATCTATAAAGCATTTCGTTCACCTCCAACAAAGGGCTTAGTTCTGTCAAAGTTCCACCCGCGAAGAATGAAACCTACTGAAAAGGCGGGCAAATAGCTGCTAAAGCAGGCATTGACATGTTGAATGCTTTTTGGACAAAAAGGAATGGAATTCTGAATGGATATTTCTGCCCAGAAAGTACATGAACAGCTTACACACAAACAACCGGTCAACCATGACTACAAGACAAGCAAGCACAATATGAATGCGAATTTGTAATCTGCTTCAAGCCAAGGATCCGTCCCAAGCTCTGTAGAAAAAATCCTTGTTGACACTAATGCATGCTTCTTCATAGGACGGCTGCTCAGAGTGGAGTTTCGTCTCGTACTCATTTCAATGCAGGGTGAAACGGGTCTCAAACCAGAGGGACAACAACAGCAACAGCAGCAACAACAACATCAACAGTAGCGACAACAGCAACAACAGCAGCAACATCACCAATAGCAGCAGCAGCAGCAACATCACCAATAGCAGCAGCAGCAGCAACATCACCAATAGCAGCAGCAGCAACATCACCAATAGCAGCAGCAGCAGCAACATCACCAATAGCAGCAGCAGCAGCAACACCACCAATAGCAGCAGCAGCAGCAACATCACCAATAGCAGCAGCAGCAACATCACCAATAGCAGCAGCAGCAACATCACCAATAGCAGCAGCAGCAGCAACATCACCAATAGCAGCAGCAGCAGCAACATCACCAATAGCAGCAGCAGCAACATCACCAATAGCAGCAGCTGCAACATCACCAATAGCAGCAGCAGCAACATCACCAATAGCAGCAGCAGCAACACCACCAATAGCAGCAGCAGCAGCAACATCACCAATAGCAGCAGCAGCAACATCACCAATAGCAGCAGCAGCAGCAGCAACATCACCAATAGCAGCAGCAGCAACATCACCAATAGCAGCAGCAGCAACATCACCAATAGCAGCAGCAGCAACATCACCAATTGCAGCAGCAGCAACATCACCAATAGCAGCAGCAGCAACATCACCAATAGCAGCAGCAGCAACATCACCAATAGCAGCAGCAGCAACATCACCAATAGCAGCAGCAACATCACCAATAGCAGCAGCAGCAACATCACCAATAGCAGCAGCAACATCACCAATAGCAGCAGCAACATCACCAATAGCAGCAGCAGCAACATCACCAATAGCAGCAGCAGCAACATCACCAATAGCAGCAGCAGCAGCAACACCTACTACATTATCTCTCACAGGCCATTGGCCCATCACAAGAATAAAATAATTACGACAACCAACAGCGGCAGCTGACGGGACGCCATCCAGTATGTCTCTAACGCAAGCAGACATGGATGAATGTGACACAGACAGCGGGCAGCACAGAAGACTCACATCATCAACATCATCGCGAATGATCATCTCCCCTTCGCTGTCGTTCTCACCACTGCCGATCACATCGTTAGAGTCCTGGCGAAGCGGTGATGAAGGGATCACCTCAGAGATGTCAGCACTTGTATCGGCTTCATCTGTCAGCTGCTCCTGGGAGAACAGGCATCAGGAAAAGGAACACCTACAGTCAGCCTTGTGAATATAATTAATGACACAAACACCCTGGTGACAATTTGACTGCGTGCATTTCACCTCGCAAATAACAACAGCTCGCGAATAACGACGGCTGGCGGCAAGACTGAGGCACCAGGGGTGTGTAGACAGGTGCTGCTATAAAGCTGTAGCGACTTTGCAACGCCCACGTCGTTTTCGTCCAGCTCTAATTTTGATGAAATCGAGCGATGGAAACACTTTGCTCAGCATAGTTCCAGGTGTTGACGAATTTACCACCACCTCCATTGTGTGTGAACAGCCTCTATAGTGTGTGTGAACAGCCTCCATTGTGTGTGAACAGCCACCATTGTATGTGAATAGCCGTGAAAACCCAAGAAAGTGAACGGAACATACCCCAAAGGACTACAATGCCGCACAAGAAGAGGCACAGCATATCAGTTGCTGGTCTGCACCCATCGTGGTCTTTGGGGTGGAGGCTACAGTTCTAACTTAGTTCTCAAAATAAGCCAAAAATCTAAACCGACGGCACAGAGGCTGAAAATCCATTTCACCACAAACAAAATACAAAAGTAGTGGATGTTCTATTTTGCCCCGAAGAGGGGGTCCGACTCTGAACATTATTATGCCCTATTCAAAAATAACATTGACAAATCAACAATGGTTCAGAAGGCAACCAACAGCAGTGCAGAACATGCTACAATGGCAATGTCAGCAGCAGCAGCAGCAACACCAGGCAAGAAAGGCATTAACATCAGCAGCAGCAGAAGCGCAGCAGCAGCAGTAGCAGCGCAAGCAGCAGCAGCGCAAGCAGGAGCAGCAGGCAAGACAACTAGCGACAGTGCAGTGTTACTCACTTCACCAGCTGGTAAGCACTCCAGCCCTTTGGCAAGCGTGGTCCGTGCACTGTTTGAGCGCTCCAGATAATACCTACACCACCACCACATCGACATTATTATACAAGTGTGTGAGAGCACATCGAAGCAACAACGACGACGACGACGACAACAACAACAACAACGAATAAAGATTTGAAACAACAACAACAACAACAACCTGATGACTGCAGTACCTCCCAATGCCACAAAACACAACCAAATATGTGCGCAAACACATGCAGGCAGACACACACACACACACACACACACACACACACACACACACACACACACACCTGTCCTGAACATTGCCGTAAGACGGTCACATGTCACACACACACACACAAACGCGCGCACACACACGCACGCACACACACACACACACACACACACAGTGACACACATACACACAGTGACACACACACACACACACAGTGACACACACACACACACAGTGTGTATACACAAGGCATGCCCATAGATCTGTAGACGAGCTCAAACCAAGACCAACACTGTAGATGTCTGCGTGTTACACACATAACTTAAACTTACCCATTGCCAGCCTCGTTAGATTGTCCAGTTGCCCACTGGGTGTAAGCTCCATGAGCGTGCTGTACAGTGCAAAATACACCATGCACACACACCAATACACGCACCCGCAGACACACCCACACCCACACGACCCACAGAAATGTACTATAAAACACATACTCGGGGAGCAGCTGCTAGGAGCTGCTAGGAGCTAACAATAACTGCTACACCGTATGAAGTTCATCAATAACTGCTACATACACTCATCTCCTCATTCAGCCATTCCATCGCCATAGTGTACTGGCTGCGAATAGCCAAGTCCGTTTCAAAGAGTTGAACAGCCACTGGGCACCTGCAACGAAGCAAAGCACAGACACGTGCACTTAGTTGGCGGTAACAGGCAAGTCAGATCAGACCGCAGAGCAACCTTCCACATTATCCAGCAACAGAACATGCACTTAAATGATGCAGACAGTCCCGGATTACCCAGGGATCACTGTTACGCAATCAAAGAGCAGATGCTCTCTGTGACTATACAGACAAGACAACAGGCGACATTGACAGAGGTGAGCGCGGTGCACATTGATGCATTGCATACGTACGTGGTGAACAACGTGACACAGCACTTCAGGCACAGGTAAGCACGCTTCTGATAGTGAGTCTTGTTGTGCTGTATGACGGAGAACAAACCTAGAGAACGGTCGCTTGGAGCTGAACGGAGATCAAAGTTAATACACACGCACACACGCATACATACACACACACACAGACACATACACACGCACGCATGCATGTTGTAACTCGGTCAATTCTTGGTCTGTCAAAGAACAAAATCTCAACTGGCGTTTCGAGCAATCACCCAAGCAAAAATATAACTGACCTATCACTTACACGTCACGGCCAACTTGCGCTCGGGGCACAATGCGCGAATCGTCTGCTGGGATTTCCCCGGGATGTTGTTGGCGAGGATACACCCATTCAAATAATTCAAACTAAGACTCCCGCGAGGGGCTACCAAATTATTGGGATTCATACAAGCAAGGAGAGTGAAATGGCATATGGAGATCGTTCGTGTGCGCAAGCCCTGCGCTGACACACCTTTGCTGGCTTGCATTGTTAGTTCAGGGCAACCTGTGGAATTGAGTTCCTAGTCTCCCTTTCGTCAGGAGCTTTCCAGGACGCCCAAGATGATGACAATTGTCCAAAGGAAACCAAAGCTACGTCCAATCCAGTGTAAAAAATAAGAGGGACTCATGCCTACGCCCACATCTACATACACACCCACCCACACCCAGACACGTGCAACTCACAGCTGAATCCCTTCATAACATTGGTGATACGAGCCACCTGCCATGAGTCATTCATGAGCATCATATGCATCGCCAAATCCATGTAGGCCTTCATCTCGTGTGTATACACATAGGACAGCTGAATAGAAATATGCGACACATACATACACGTACACACACGTACACACACACACACACACACACACACACACACACACACACACACACACACATCCACATACACGTACACACACATCCACATACACACACGTACACACACATGCACACACATGCACACACATGCACACACACGACACAGGCAAATCCCATTGACAGCATGGATTTAGCAGTGCCACTGCACACCTGTTGAGCAATACAAAAGTACGGTAGGAGTTGAAAGTGCGACGAGTCTACAGTCACACTGAGTGTAACGATTTGCAAAAAAATCCCACTTGGCGGGCACAAGTTTAACGACCCTGTCATCACACACCTGTCTCCTGTTTCTCTAGTACAGAGGAGAGAAGGAAAAACATACGCGTAACGTTTCACGAGTTGGCGGTGGATTCTTTCTCGTTAAACGCTAGACTTTGTGCCCCGTTAGAGATTCAACTCTTACAGTAGCCAGGAGACCGATCCACTCACGACTAAGGACCAAGCCCAGAAAGGCCTATTTCACCATGATATATGCCAGTTCATGTCTATCTGTGAAGCACGTAAGGTAGACTTGATCGACATAACCACTCCCAGAAGAGTATGTTTGCAGTGACAAGCGGCAAGAAATCACACCACAACCATGCTTACCTGGAGCAAGATCTCAGTCAGAACTGCATGGGAGAAAGTTGGATTTTCCCAGCACAAGAACTGCAAATCACAGGAAGACAAGCAAAGACCGTGAAAAGAGTCAGTACTACGATTTGGTACTGGATTTCCAGCCAAATCCTCAGGCTCGACAAGTCAATACCGAAGCGCCTGAAAGGACACAGAACAGCCCAATGCAGAAGCACTGTATACACAACTAAATAATCGTGATACTTGTACCCGCATTCGGGGTACCAGATACTAGCACATTCCCAGTCATACGTAACCAGATCCACTAGGAAGACTTGCATGCAACTGCCACATATAAGATGCCACAGACAAATATGGTAGTGATAAGCAGCGGGTAGCCATGGATGATTAGTGGCTCAAATGCCAATTTGACAACCGAACGAATAATCTACTATTTCCCAGTCCCATGCCAGAATCCGTGCCCCGCCAAGCCATTCGTCCTTCTTCTCCAAGATGTCAAAGCTCTTTTCTTGCAATTCCCAGACACAGCTGAGCACCCTCACAGCAGCACTGAGAAGCATGATTGTCACCATCGGAGTTGCCTTGGCACATTCATGCATCAGGTCTAACGATCATCCAAACCTTAGAATTGTAAATTTTCCAATTGACTAATCACAGAGCACTGCAAGCTTCAATTTAACATTCGTTACATTGCTAAACAAAACCACGCAAATACACAAAACCATTGCCATCTGGCTCGTCTCTGTGACCGTATCGTGCCCAATGAGCTTGACAATAATATTGAGTGAGGTGTTGAGCTTTGGTGAGGCTGACTTCCACTCGAATGTGCGAGCGTGAGGATTTAATAAAATAATTTTTTGACCAATTGTCAATATTGTACAATATGCCCTTGCAACAATCAAAAATTACACCACAGACCTGCAGAAGCTTGATGACTTCATCAGAGGATGAGCCTTCTTCGATAAGCCTCTTCAGATACCTGATGACCACAGCCCAGATCAAGACCAACCATTATAAACATCATGGAACACACATACTTGCAGTAAGCCAGGAATCCGACACTACACCAAATTAACAGAAGTGTATCCGAAAACGATCAGAGGGAGGGAGAGAGAGAGAGAGATAGATAGATAGAGAGAGCGAGCGCGAGAGAGAGAGAGAGAGAGAGAGAGAGAGAGAGAGAGAGAGAGAGAGAGAGAGAGAGAGAGAGAGAGAGAGAGAGAGAGAGAGAGAGAGAGGGAGAGAGGGAGAGAGAGAGTGAGCAGGGTGCACACAAGCCAGAAGCAGCGGGTAAGCAGCAGCAGCACTACCAGGGCAGTGGCATTACTACATGTAGTAATGGTACACTAGACTCACCTGTTCTTTGAAAACAAGTCAGTTTCCATTGCTTTCGGCATGGGCAACTGCATGTCTGGGTCAGCCAGCGGGTTGGCCATCACAGGGCAACCCTGATCCAGCAGCAGCAGCAGCAACATCATGAGCA